ACTGCGCCATAGTAACGCTCAGCTCTCTCCGCCCCCTCAGTTCTGCCGCTTCGGTTCGACACTCTTAGCCACGTGATGATACTTGAACATGGCTCGAGCCCACATACACAGTGCCTAGACAGATCGATCCCGCACTATGAAGGATACCACCTTCAACGCTCAAGGCCAACCAACATTATCAAGGAGAATCTTGAGGTTGCACCACGAAAGATTCAGTTGAGGTCCAATGTGATACATACTGAGTCGAGACTACTCTCATTTCCACTAAAGCGATTCGATTCTACTCCTGCTAAATCAAGTTCTCTGGATACCACACCTCTACCACCACACATACGTCAGATCTACGTCAGAATGCCCAGGGTATATAAAATAGTTATTCATTTTTATATTTATACATCATATTGACATTAAATACCCTAATATTCTGTCAATACCTGTCAGGTTAACGTAGATCTTAGCGCCCAAACTATTCACAACCCTACAGTAGAGTCTCACCTCGCAAGCCACAGACGCCTTCTTAATCACAGCCGGATCGAAGTCCTCTCTCCCTATATACGGCTCGATGTTAGTAATAACCTACAACACCTCATAAACGACTTCCAACCGCGTTGGTCGCCCACCTTCTCGGGGATGTTATCCTTATCAAAAGCAAACAATTTCTCCAAAAGCCCCTTAGGATCACTCAATACCTAAACCGCCAGATGAAATCGAAGTGCTGGACCAGGACATAAACTCTCTCAATATGCTCATGTCCGACCAACATCGGGAGGGGGAGGGGAGGCAGCTACGAACAGTAGCCTATCAGCTTTCTCTGCTAACCCCACTACTCAAGAGAAAAGAAACCACCGTTTTTTTCAAAGATTCGATCCTCTCCACACCGTGAACTCAAAATCGAGATCCAACCTACTTGGCTCTTCGCGCTCTCCCAGTAATCAGTGATCTTCTTCCCAGGCCGCTCAGGGTCATTCTTCATAGTCGGCTTGACCTACACGGCGAAAAAATACCCCTACCGGGGATCGAACCCACGACCTTTCGACCATCCTACCTCGAACATAATACATATCGCTTCCAAAGTGAGTTTAACTCCGCCCGGTGGATTAGCCAGTGCTTTCACCTGCCACCTACCTTCTCCACGACCAACAGCAGCAACAACTCATAACCCCACCTCCTGAATGTGACTGAGCTTGAGACTCTTCAAGCACTGCACAGCCACTTCCAAGGCCGGCAGGGCCTCGTCCAGATCCTTCTGAGCATCATCCTTGATCTCTTGAGCGACCGCTGCCTGCGCTGACGCCTCCTTCTCCTACACAAAGTCGACATTGCAATTCCACCCCTATACAAGAAAATTCGCCACATTTTTATCATCTTTGTGAAAGGACTATCCGAAGAATATGGCGTTGAATATATGCCCCTACCATAGACACCCTTCCTCACCTGCTTAGCCACAGCTTCCTGTGTGATAGCCGCTTTAGCCTTATCCTCTGTGATAACAACCATCATCTCTGCCACCTAACCAGAGCACTCAACAACATCAACAGCAATACTTCCAAAA